TCAGCCAACAAAGGACAGGAGGTGGTAGATAAACACCCTTTCCTCCTTCAGTTCCTCTTACGAGCGATTCTACATAGCTCCTCGGAAGGTGCTCAACTCAGTAACGTGCATTTCTACTGGCCTCTCTCCTCATCTGTTCAATCTCCTGACCTCTCCCTCCTGCTCCTGGAATGCCTTCCCAAATTACCGATGCACCAAGCCCCTGTTGCAGACTCTGCTTCCCGGGAGCCTAGGCTCCGACCGGCTGCCCATGTCCTGCTGAAGAAGTTGAGCTTTATCCTGCAGACAAAGCAAATTGGAACGTTTCCAAGATGAGAACAACAACAAGAGCAACACTGAGGAGAAAAGTCACTAAGGGCCACCAGCCATTAGGTGCCATCATGAGATGGGGAGAACCACTGAGAACGAGCTCAACCCACTGCTGAGGCTTCCATGGAGAGTCTTTCCCACCATGGCCACTCCCTCTTGCTCCAGGACAATGGGGGAAAATGTAATATCAGTAGGAGGCAAAGATCTCTGGCAGGCCAGCTGGTTCAGATGGTGGAAACAGTGAAATGAACAATGAAAGGATCACTGTAGATGTAAAGAAAATTATTGCAAAAAGAAAAACAATGGTGGGTTGGGCAGGGTCGGGGGTAGGGGAAAGACGATTCCTCTCTGAAGCAGTTTATCTGTAAAGGAGGATGTCCTAACCAGGCTCAAAGCTCTTCAGTCCAGAAAAGGTCACTCTCCTGGTTTTACAGTAAGGCAAGTCGAATCCAAAGAGGGCTTCCTTGCTGCTGTAGGAAAGCAAGAGAAATCTGGGGACTTAGAAAGGTGGGCTGGAGGGGCACGGAAAATGGAGGGTGGGCTGGGAAAGGCCATGAGGCGGCACAGCTGAGGGTCTATGGGTGGGTGGGGAGCAACACCAGGGAGGAGGTAACAGCCAACACACTTCCAGGGACAGTCACATCACACTCTTTATTTGACGATTTTGTTCCCATGCTATCATTACCCTCTTCTAGCCCCCAACCTTTAGTAAAAGGCTGCTAACCAGAGACTTCTTATTAACCATTCAAGGGAGAAATGAAAGAAAAACACAGCTGTCAAGAGGGGAAGGGGGCCAGCAAGAAGGGATGAGAAAAACAGTGTGGGTCTGGAGGGTTGGACTCTCTCTCTCTCTGCGATACCTTGAGTACAGAATATGTTGTACTCAGAGTTTGCTTTTACATATGTGAATTTAAGACATAATGCATTCTTTTTTACTGCATAATTTTTTTAATAGAACACTGCATTTATCATGGTTCAAAATCCACAGAGTATGAAACAGTAACAGAGAAGAGTGTCCTTCCCACTGCGGCCTCGCAGACACCCCCACCCTTCCCCACAGGCACCCACGATTCCAGCTCTTGTACACTTCAAGGCATGTTGTATGACTTTGCAAGGAAACACATATGTAAAATCTTTTTTTCTGGTTTATCCAAATGAAACCATACTATACTGCACGTTACTTTTTTCATTTAATAACTCCGGGTAATCTTTCCACATCATCTGAGTATTCTCATTCTTTTCTGGTTGCATGACATGCCTTTATGGAGGCACCATAATTCCCCTAAGCAGTCTCCAACTGGTGGGCATTTAGGTTGTTTTCTAACTTTTGCTATTACAGAAAATAGAGAAATGAATGAACAGGCAAGATATTGTGACTTTTTCAATAAAATATTCTTAAATGTGCTTTTATTATATTAAGGGTACAGATGATTTTTCCCCAGTAAAACATAAATGTAAGCTAATTTGGCAAGCCAAATTTATTTAAATGTTTATTTAAAACATTGTTGTCACATATATTTGATTCGGTATGGTATCCTTTACGAGACAGTTTAGTTATTATAGCTAGTAAAAGCAGTGTATTTTCAAAAACAGATCATGTAAATATCGAGCGATTCTTAGCATCGCTCGATTAGGATGGTCGGAACCAACAGTGTTTGCCTAAAGCCATAAGGACAATAAGAACAGAATGAGGCCCAGCAGCTCTGCGGATTCAAGAAGCTCTGAGCTTGGGAAGCCTGGGTTTGATCTGTCACCCTGCCATTGTGACTTTTTCAATAAAAGGTGGACAATGATTCCTGCCCTACGTACCTGGCAAAGGTGTTCTGAGGATAAAATGGGAAATTACTTCCCAAATGGGAAATCTGTTTATGAACCACAAATGTGTGAACCGGCATTAAACCCTGTTGCTACTCTTCTGTTTCTTACAGTGCTGGTTTTGGAGGTCAGCAGATAAATCCATCTACGGAATAAATTCTGAAATAAATTTCATGAAAGAAATTACATTGGGCCTGACCGTTTTAATTAAATGCACCAAGCGGTGGCCCTAATATATTATCATGTTTTTAAAACCAATTAAATAAAGAATCAGAAAGGAAATAGATCGCTATTTGCTACCAACCACAATTTTTTTTTTTTTTTTTTTTTGCATCCTCCTCATCTCCCCACCTCATCTACGGTTATTAAAATCAGGTTCACTGCTAACCACTTTGACAGGAAATAAATCTGGAAACCACTCATTCTGATGGGGTAGGTAATATCTTTTTGCCAATTAACACTGTTAAGATTCTTGGATTTGCAGGGAACATAGTCTCTCTGGATTCATTCGGAAATGATCAATAAAATAAACGGGCGAACGAAGTTTAAGTACTCTGGAAAATGAAATGCTGGGCTGTCTGGATTTGAGAAATATAGGGAAACCTACCCATTTCACTCATTAAAACCTTCAAGCTAGGCCATTACTGAAGCAGACAGGTACCTCAGGCACTTCTCAGTCAATCCATTCAAGTTCCCACCATCCCTTTTCTAGTCACTGCCTCCATGGCAACAGGCCACTGACCTGCCCTTGAGGGAAATAGAATTTCTGGCAAGACTGAGACTTTTTAATAATTCCACTTGTGAATACGGGTCAGAGAGAAATGGATGGATTCGTACCAAGTTACTTAACAAACCTACTAACAAAATGAGTGACTCCTAGCAAGTGACCAGACCAGGGTGCAGTGTATCCCCTAGGGAAGCCAAAAATTGCATTGTTAGTGCCCAGGACCATCTGTACCAGCGACACCTGTCCATCAAACCCTTCCCTGAGTCTGGACTTCTTCCTTCAACATTTTCTTTATTTACCTTTTTCGAAAAAGGTAAATAAGTGTACTGGGCAGCTCATCGAAGTGATTACTAATCTGATTACTCATTTCCTCCAAAATTCAACTTTAATAAACAAATACAAAGTGATCTACCATAAAGGGCATGTTTTGTTGTGCAAGTTTCCTTATGGGAATATCATCTAGAAATATCAGTTTCTAGTGACCAGACTTCCCTCTCGGGGGAGGACAAGGATCTAGAAACATCAATTCCAATACCTGAGATTTAAACTCTCATCCCAAACACCCAAGAGACACTCCTCCCACTCCCTTCTTTTCCTGGAAACGTTCTGCGTGCAGCCTGCAGTTGTAACAGATTGCCTGTTTGGTGGCACTACTCTCTGATTCAGAAATATAAACATGGCTTCAGAGATTTATTTTACAATTCATCTTCTGATTTGTCACGGCCGGGAAGGTCAGCTTCCAGATTTTCTATTCTAAATTACTTTTGAACAGATTTTGCAAACAGACTAAGGAAAACGGCTTGTGCCTGGACCAGAAAGAACTCCGAAAGTCGGGACTCAAGTCCTCTCTCCCTTTTGTTAAAATGTAAACAATCAGAAATCCCACCATTTCCCAAATCAATTATTTGTAAAGGAACAAACAGGTGCTTTGGAGACATTGGAGTTATAAAAAGAAAATGGCAAATGATTTTTTCATGGGCCAGCTGCTCAAATGATGCGATTCTGGGGAAGGTTCTCGGAGGCTCTAAAACTCAATTAGCAAATCAATTAAGATCATCCCCTGTCTGCCAACAGGAGCGTGCTGTCCCCCTCTGTCCTCCTTCCCATTTCAGTGTTCTCTGGTGCATCCCTGTCACCAAAGCGGAAGCCCAGTCAGTCAACCTGAGGTTCCTGTGCTTTCTGCTAACCCTGGACAACAGGGGGAGGCGGGGGCACCGTTGCGGTTTAATTAAGGATTAGCAGCCACCAGAAGGAGCGGTGGCCCGCTTATTTACATGGTCCCAGTCTAAGTTTGCCTTAGAAGCTGGGCTCAGCACAGACTCAGTGGGGGCTGCCTGGTGTGGCTGACTGTCACTTTCTTTCAGTGGAAAACAGATAGGACCAGGCAAAACAGATGGTTCCTAAAGGGGCACATCCAAAAAATCTGCTAGCACACTGTGGCAGTGTCTTCCAAATAAACAGCAATCTACTGGAGAGGAAAATCAGATCTTCCCCGCCACATCCTGCCACGGCCCATCCAGCCTGAACATCACCCACTTAGGAGCTTCTCATCCTCAGTGAGGCATAATTACTCTTCCTTTGGGGCAAAGGACAGCCTGTCTTTCCCAGCCTCCCGGAGATAGCCATCATCACCGATAATGCTCCCATCTCTGTCAGTCAAGTCTGTTATCTCCGTAAGACCACCTTCAAGAGACGGCTGACCCGCGGATCACATATGGTCACCCGGTCCCAAGAGAAGCAAATACACATACCATGTATTTGGCGAGCTGGGTGGAACTTAAAGATGGAGCCAGTAACACCTCCAATGGCAACTAAAAACACGTGACTTTTTCCATCGTAAAACATTAATGACGTTTTTCTTTTCTTTCAAACTCCAAATAAACTCACAGACGATTATTTGTGGAAGTCCTGGCTCTGACTGTAAGTTTGGACAAATCACTAAACATTTCTGAGCTTGTTTCCTCACCTGTGAAATGAAGGGGTTGAACTGGAAGATTTCCAGGGTCCCTTTTAGCACTAAAATTCTACAGTTCTTTGGGTGGGGGTGGGTCTCCTCCAACATTTTGTCAAATCACATATGTAATTGATCACCCGGCTTTTCAGCATAGATTACAAATAGAGAGACTGTTTCCATTAGCCCGTAACTTACCTTTTCAACCGCTGTGTGTTCTTCATTTGTGACGTTTGTTTTCCTTGACTCGTTTTTAGACCTGCTTAGCCTTCTGGATACTTTTTCTCTCAGTAAAGTGGCATATCCAATGTGTTCATAAATGGGGTTCGTTGTCATTTTGGAAATGTATTCCGAAGCTTTTGTTTCTATGTACAGTGTTATCAAGCCATCTGTGACCAGATCATGAATCGATTCAAACCTCTTCTCTCCCACAAAGTGTTTTCCATCGTAGAAGAGCCTGTAGTTTAAGGTCTGGTTTCCAAACCTGTCCACGAGAGAATGAGAGATCACAACAGTGTTGAAATAAGACCAGTGAATGCCAGCAGCAGCTAAGATTTTTGAGCATGTACTGTATGCCAGGCACGGGGCTAAGCACTTAACATGATTTTCCCCATTTAGTTATCTTAGAGATCCTTTGAGACAGGTACAAGTATTATCCCTGATTGACAGCTGAGGAAACAGAGACTTGAAGAGATTGAGTACCCGCTGGATGCTACATCCCTGGGAAGAAGCAGAGGTGGGATTAATGCCAGGCAGTCATATGGTGTCATTTGATCCTAGAAATCACTAAGGCCATTGGGTCCTCATCGTTCTCATTTGTAAAAGTCAGAGGGTAGCGTCTCATTTACAAATATCTTACTTATAAACTTCCTTAATGGGAACTAGCCACGCCCCTCCACCCCCCTCCCCTGTACTGGGCAATTCCCTCTGCAAAGGAAGCTACCACCACTGGCCCTGATGTCCCGTTATTATTACATCTTTGACCACTACCAGTAGAGCACTTCATACCTCCCACCCCAGTTAGTCCAGCAGAAGGGAAACGAGGGGAGCTGTGCGAAGCTCCCTGCTTGAGTCTCCAGCACCAGGATCCCAGCACTCTAACCTATAGGGTCCTCCCCCTTTAGCGCTGGCTATCCCTGCCTGGCCTTGGTCCTATATCTCGCAGCCCTTGCTTGGTTTCCCCCCGGGACTGCCAGCTCCTGCTGCTGGGGTGCTGGGAGGATAGAAAACTACTTTGCATCCCCAGACCACTTGCTAGCTTTTGAAGTACTTCCACATAGGCATCATTTAAGACATATGCTAGCCACCCCCAGTTGCATCTTGCATCTTTTTACAGACACAATATTGAGATGGTGCATTGAACACGTCTTTGTGGGCTGGCCTAGGAAATGCTTCCATTGATACCATTCTTTCTATGGAGAAAGTTCTTCCCAATTCCAAAGAGTTCCCGAAATGAATTACTGGAAGACAATCCCATTCTGAAATTGGATATCTTCCCTGAGCCTTATAGGATTGTTGTGAGGATCAAATGACAAAATGTTTGCACAAGGTTAGGAAAGTGCGGTAAACGCAATGCCCGTCAGGTGCTGTGATTTCCAGTACTTGTGACTTTGGGGTAAAAGCCTTGTGAAAATTATGCTCTGATGGCTTGCTGGCATGGAGCATCACGGCCACCATTGGGAGTTCCTTGAGTCAACACGATCCCTGAGGGAACCTCCTGGACAAACCGCACAACCGTCCAGGCACACACACACAACGTGAGGGGAAGATGTTTGACAAGGGCTGCAGGCGACCAACTGAGGCAGAGGCGCTTCTCCCTCAGCTCTCCCTCTCCCTCAGTGTTTCAGGCAGGTTTGGGAGCACTAACTTTGCAGATAATTCTCCAGTGTATACTGTGTGTACAGTGTGTACTGTGTGTACTGTGTACACATAAACAGAGCCTCAGCATCCATCTCGCTGATAACATCTGTGGCCTAGGAAATGTGTAGCCTCTAATAGGCTGCTGGTGCTTTGTAAACAGAGAGAAAATAAAAATGAGGAGGGGGAATGGGGAAGGGCTGTTCAATGGGTTCAGAGTTTCTGTTCGGAATGATGAAAAAGTTCTGGAAATGGATAGTGGAGATGGTTGCACAACATTGAGACGGTACTTAATGCCACTGAGCTGTACATTTAAAAACGGTTCAAATTTTATGTTATGTATATTTACTGCAATAAAAACATGGGAAAAAATGAGTCAAGTCACTTGTCAGGCAATTGCAACAACAGCTGAAATCAAGCTCACCTCAGAGCTAACGTGTAGCATCCTGGCTGGCGCTGGCTTTCTCTAAGGATGTAGGCACCCTCCACGCCTCCAAGAAGCTCATCTGCCTGCTCCCGGGAGATGATCCCATGAAATCTGAGGAAAGACAAGACCATCTTTGTTCTGAACAAGCCACATACAAAGTATGGACCACAAAGAGCTGGCTAAAAAAAGATGGCGGGGCCACCGAGAATCTACAGGCCCCCAGTTGGATGAAGAGGGGAGGGACCAGTGTACATCTTCAAGATGGACCTGGCCTCACCTCTCAGCACGCACCCAAACAGATAACAAGCATTCAACTAGGCGACACAAAACGAAGAACACCCAGTCCACCTGGTTTTTGCTATTGTCTTTGCTGGCAAGCTGAAAATCAAGGTCGAAACAAAAAGCCAGGTGATGGCTCCTCTTTTAACCATGGGGAATAACAAAAGAGCAATTACCAATTTAGTTCTCTGCTCAAAGGCAGACAACTATGTATTATCTTGATTGCAAATGAACACTTATTGATTATCAACTTGATTCCTTCAGGTGTGAGGTGGTGTTAATTTTCGAGGCTCATTCCCTGGAAAGAATAGCCAGCGCTAATCAACATTCTTCCATTTCTTTAAATTTTGAGAGCAATTGCTTAGGGGTAAGTTTGAAAAATGCACCTATTTTTCTTTTGTAAAGATAACGTTATTTCTTTTTCTGCAATTTAAAAAGTAATGCACATGCACGTAGAAAATGCAGTATATCCAGAGGGTTACAGGCTTGGACGACGACTGCCTTGCTCTGGAGGGGATGTCTGAGGCCTAGAGAGTGGACAGTGACTCCAGGGAAGAAGAGAGCAGGCAGGAGTTGGGGGCAGGCCACCGGCCCCTTTCCCTGTTCCCTTTAAGCAAAGACACCTGCTCACTTCTGTTATTGGAGATTCGATCAATCTGTGTTTTAGCGGAAGGTGGGAGCTGGGTTGGGGGTGAGGCCAGTGCTGAGGGACTCCAGGTTCCTAGAAGAGGGAACAACACCCTCTTTCTGGAATTACACAATCATGGAGAACTTTGAGGAAGGAATTGGAGAAGAAATTTTCTGGAAAATTCTTCTTTTACCTTCCTGGAAGGGGGAGGGGAGAGAGGGAAGTCACTAGACAACACGTTTTTTCCCCCCCTCAGGAATGCAAAGATTAAGTTAGAGGACAAATGTAGCAGGATAATATTTTGAAGATGAAGATTTTGTCCTAGGGGAGTGAGGCAGAAGAAGCTGTGGCTTAGAGTTCCACAATCGACTCTCTAAACTCTAAAGCAGTGCGAGCTCGGGAGAAAGGGGTTTTCTGGCCTCCCAAGTTTCAGTTTCAAGTCTCGAGAGCCAGTGCCTGGAGGTCTTGGAGCAGCGCTTTTCTAGAGGCTGTGACGTAAGAGCAACGCTCCTGCCCAAAAAGAGACCAGCGTTCCCAGCTCTTACAGGAGGCGGATTTTGCCAGAGCCCAGGCTCAGTGAGTCTAAGTGGGCCCCACACAGCATGAATGGGACTGGAACTGGTGCACCCATTAATGGGGATCCCGGAGACTGGAACTGGTGGATCCGTTTATAGGAATCCTGGAGCTGGAGCAGGCGTGTTTGGGGATTTGACTGGGAGTGTGGCCACTGGACCCTGTGAGCCTTCTGGGGAAGTCTCCTATGTGGCATGAGCTGGGGCCAGAGAGGGCTGGACGGATGGCCTAGGCAAAGAGACCAGATACCGAGCCAGTGGGAGTGTGTGTGTGAGAGTGTGGGTGTGTGCGTATATGTGTGTGTGTGTGTGTGGTGGGAGGGGCATGGTGGGGGATAGAAGGGATGGGGGGCATCAGAAAGTTTCCCACACATTGGAGTCAGAAAGGACAAAGGTGGTGCCGCAAGAGTTATGAGGCTGGGATGTCCAGGGCGCAGCCCAACTGTGGGCCAGGGCAGGGCAGGAGGTGACCACAGCAGGACAAGGCACCTACAGAGGAGGGCACAGGGCCTGACACCCCTGCCCCAGGTCACTCTTGGGGGAGGATAAATATCCCAAACAGACAATTAACCCAAAAGTGGCTAAGTTTTAACTCCCTTGAATTGACAAGTTTGAGTGATGGCCAGCAGCAGACATAGAGTGTCAAGAACTAAGTTAAATTTAATTGTTCAGAAAAAGAAATTATGGGCTGGCCTGGTGGTATAGTGGTTAAGTTTACAGGCTCTGCTTTGGCAGTCGGGAGTTCATGGGTTTGGATCCCAGGCGTGGACCTATACACTGCTCCTCAAGCCATGCTGTGGCAGCATCCCACAGACAAAATAGAGGAAGACTGGCACAGATGTTAGCTCAGGGACATTCTTTCTCACCAAAAAAACAAAAAACCCAAAACAAACAAAAAAAACAAAAAAAGAAAGTTACAATTTTGTCAATCTGAATACCCAATCTGTGGCTCATAGTTTATGCAGGGATTTATAAACATCCATGGTGTGTATGTCTCATGATCCCAACTTTGTAAAAAGAAAGCATGTGCAGAGACTGGAAGGAAAGAGATGAAGAGAAAAAGTTAACAATGTCCTCTTTCATGGTGGGGCTGTGGGTCTTTTCTACCTTCTATATTCCTCTATTTTCTAATGTTCCCAAATTAGCAAATATTAATTTGTTAACTTTTTAAGAACAAAAGTAATATCCACGCACACTGGGAAAATTCAAAAGTTAAAAGACACAAAAGAATTAAAAATGTAAATAGTACAGAAGTAAAAATTCTCTTTCCCTAAAGCTATCCATTGTCAGCAGTTTCTTATGACTCCTTGTAGAAAAAAATATGCATGTATGTTTCCTGGGTAGAGCATATATTACTTTCGAATGGAACAAAAGGTCTTTCATTGTTAAAAAAGAAAAGGAAACATGGATGGAATCTGATGTTTCTAAGCTAATTTCCCTATAAATACAAAATGTTTCTTTTCTGTGGTTAAGAAAATATTTCCTTGGTCTCCTCTCACTATATTATGTGGGTTTGGGATTGTAGAATGAGAACTAGAAGGTTACTCAGCAAAATTTTTATGCAAAAAAGAAAATGCACAATAAATTGAGTTCCTTTTGGAATTCATGTACAAAAGTGTTCCATTGGAAAAGTATATGACAGGTTTTTGTTCAATTTTTTTTAATTAATTGTGCTCTCTGTGAGCAAAATACAAATCAAATTGAAAAAAAAAGTCAGACTACAACGAAGTTAGATGTTAGGGACATGGGGATGGATGAGAGAGGAGGCTGGCGCTCCAGACAGGTCTTCCAGAGGCCCCCGCTGAATTCCCAAGGCCGGGTAGGAAGGTTCAGAAAGGCAGCCGGTGCAGTTAGGAAATGGCTGCCGGGCTGGGACAAATAAGAGGGTCATTTATCACGAAGATGAGGCTCTGATGGGTAAGGGAACAGGCGAAGAAATTGGACTTGAAAGAGACTTTGCCTCATAACATAACGCCTCCAGGTTGGATGTGGGAGGAAAAGCGATTTGTGCATCTGCCCTGCTGGGGGTTACTCGGCCTGCCCTCTGTAAGCTGTTCTCCACGCCAAAGCCCGAGACTGCAAATGATGTTTATGGTAATACATATTTGCTTTGCGTAGGTTTCTGAGAGAGTGAAATAAAACAAGAGTTGAAATTAAGACGAAAATGGGGGGAAATAATAATTACGGTATTGAGGCAATTTGGCTCATATAGCCAAGTCCAGAGAAATTATCATTTTGGTTTTATGAGACTACAGGGAAATGGGATGGCTTTCCTGAGTGTTGCATTTACTGAGGTGCATGAAAGTAAGGAATTCACTACAGTTCACCATCTTTGACACCCTAAATGTTTATATACTATCGAGGGAGAAAGTGAAATAAAATACGAATAGAGCCTCAATTGTGGAAAATGCTGCCTTATGTTTCAAATACTGGCCAGGCACTCAGTGGCTGCTTTTGCGGAGAGAACTGTAGCGGGAGATACTCTCCCTCCCACGTTACCGGAAGCCAAGCCCCTGAGTTTTATAAAGAAAATTCAATACAAAGGGATCTGATTGCATTTATCCTTATTATGAAGCTCTTGCACAATGGACATTTGATGAAGCCCATATATTAGAAGATTTTTAATATTTAAATAACATACAAAGTGACTACTTATTACATTATTAAAACAAAGAATAGCATAATACATACTCTCTTCCATAATATTTTGGTCTGTTTTCCACCTATATTAAAAAGAAGAAAAATATTAATAATGCATTTGAATTCAAATCAGATAGATAAAAATGCTATTCAAATAAACACAGATAGAGTCCTGGTAGTAATTTTATTACAGTTTTTACTCCCCAAATCAGAGATCCATGAAACTCTGGAGTTAACCAACACATTCCACTATCTCAGGTAGGAATTATATAGAATCACCGTATTTCTCTAATAATTAGGTTCACTCCCCACCCAAACTCAATCATCCAATAAAAGAATTTTCCAAGGAAACAAAGTGATGCTTATTTTAATGTTAAGAAACTTACAAAGATATTGCAAAGCTTCATCCTGAAGGATAAAATGAATATTTTTAGCATGAATAAAACATAAGCATTTATTTCAATCTTCATCTAATTGTTTCATCATGTATATAACAAAAATTAGGACTGCACCTGGATTAAAAAAATAAGTTTAATTTGTTCTCTTTCCAGATAAAGTCAGTAACCTAACGTTCATGTTTGTTTCAACAAATGGCTAATGGGCTGAAATTCACTTGACCCCAGAGGCACAAGATGTAGAGGACAAGATTCATGACTTGACTAAAAATCACAAGCATTCCAGAAAAGATTTTTCAATCACACAGCTTGAGCCTTGGGGTTATCACATCGGATTTTTATCACCAATGTATGGTAATCCAGTTTCATAAGAACTTCGTTTCCTTATGTTCATGGTGTTGGAGTTGGTGAGAAATTAACATGAATTGTCATGTTCAGCTTTTGTTCCTCTAGTCTAACTCCAGGGATACTGAAAATACAGTAGAGCCACATGAAGTTATGGATTTTCACTGATGGCCATGACAGCAAGTTTATGTTGATTTACTGGAGTAGAATATGAGCCCGGCAGCTATTTCACTTACGGTCATTCTGTCTACAGTCAAATGGGCAGTTTTCTCTGCAGGGCTCACAGATAAGCACAGTGGTGGGACGTCAAGGTACTGGGCAGATTCCTGGCCCACCTCCACCCTCCAAAGGATGCATGGGATCTATGTGGGCAGTAGGGAGCTATGGGCTAGAGGAAAAAGTTCAGAGAGGGGGAGCCAGGGATCTGAGGACCACAATCGCAAGCCTGCCTTGAGCAAGCCTAGCTGGCATAAAACTAATCATCAAGACACCTCTAAATATGTGTTCACTCTTCTGTGCATTTTATACTTGAAAAGCACTGAACCAAGACAGGGCATTCATAACTCTTAATCTTCAAGGTTTGGAGCCTGCTCAGTGTCATTTACCAAGGAAGATCTAAATAATCTCATTAATAGAAGCACAAAGTGTGTAAAAAGGCACCTTGTTATCTGATGTGTACCATTACTCTACATGCTGGAAAGCTTTTTAATATGACTTGAACATTTTGTCATTTATATAATTCTATTGGCTTTCAGAGTTCTTTCTTACTTTTATGATACCGTAGATATGTGACTGCGAAACCAATATGCCATAGAAGAAATTTAGAACTAGAAAAGGCCGATGGAAGTAGACAGTATATAATGGGCAAGATATCTCTCCATTCTTTGAGAGTCATTATACCAAATTTTGAAATGATTCCCTATATCCAAAGACAATTTTTTTCCCATCTTTTTGACTGCCATAACACACATTTGAAAATCTGGGTGTGGCTCCCAACCCCGTTCCCTTCCTCTATCTTGTTATCTCCCCAAAAGGGAAGAGTGATTCATCTAACTTCCCAGATGGCCAGCATGGTAGATGGAGCCTACTACTAACGCCTGGCACACAGGTAAGTAGTTAAGGAATGTTGAATTTAATTGACTGTTAAGAAGACAGCAAACTGCTTTCAGTTCATCAATCAATCATAAAAATATATGGCACGCTTATGATGTTCAGGGCTCTGTGCTCAGCCTTGTCATTGCTTATCAAGTAAGGACCTCACAGGGGTGAGAGGCAGGGTATAAGGAGTCTTCTGCAATTGCAGCAGGAGGAACACTTGAGAACTCTAACACAGTCCCCCAAATAGGGAAGTCAGCATTTATCGTGCCTTGTGGGATACCAAATAAGATCCTGCCTAGGGGACAGTTTGATCCAATTGAGGGACAAATCCACAAATGAAAACCAACTAGAAAATAAAACAAGAGTACTGAACTGTGTGGGACAGATCACTCATGGAACAGGGCCAGGGAATAGGTCCCAAATAGTGCACAAAATGTATACTAAATATTATTCTTTATTTATCTGAAATTCAAATTTAACTAGGCATCCTGTTTTTATTTCTCTTTTTTGATTACCCTACCTAGAGGGAGAGGAAAGGTGGCAGTAAGAGAAAATGAAGACAGAGGATGTGGTTGTCCATCTAGTTACCGCTCCCATTGGTTGGGGGCTGTTTTGATAGCAATCTGATTCAGTCTCTCGTCTCTTTGTTGTCTCTGTAGCTCTTAAAGAAAATATAGCTGTCCTTGTTAATGCTAAAGAGAGAGAGAGTGGCTGGGATAGAAAAAACAAATAACCTCTTCCTTTTCCTAAACTTTTTGCTCACAGGAGTCTAAACATAGTCTCTCTCTCCACATTTCACTAAGCTTTTAGCCAGTCGAGAGCTTAATTTAAGTTAAATGACCCTAGAAAAATCATAGATCATCCACATTTTTTTCAAGGTGGATAATATTGAATCCTCAAATTCAGACAAAATGCAGTAGACTGGGTGTCAGGCTCTTAGGGACAAGGAACTTGACCAGAGCGATGAGTAACCCCAACACTGTGACCTAATAATGCCTTAAGGATGCCTGACTCAGTCCCCAGGTGCGGCTTCATGTCAGCCACCGATGGAATCAGGACCCGCCTGTGAAATGTGGATTTGTTTTATTAAGCTGTAGCACTTAATTTCAGTTTACAATTGTATGAGATTCTCCTCAGTGAATGAGACAGAGGACAGTTGATAAAGAAAAAGCAAGGCAGCTCAGAAGTTCTTCTTGCATTCTCACGGAGAATTGTTTGTTAAAATCAAGCACTTGATCAAAAGATGGAGGGCTAATTTAGGTGGTCATGTGGATTCAGGAAGGGACAAAAACGTAACACATCCCAACACGAAGGAAGGTTGGTTCTGGAGCTTCCCTGCCACTGGGACGATCCTAAGAGAACAGCTGGAGTCGGACAACCCGTCACTTTGGTGAAACTGGTCATTGCAGGTATGACTAACACAAATTGTATCTGCAATGCCCGCCCTTGGGATTTAGTGCTCCAATTCCAAGAAGTGAATGAAGCCCACGCTTTTTAAGGAAAAGAAAAATATCTAATAATTTGTAGACATACTACTGGATCCTCCAAGACTGGATCCTTGAATGGTCTCGCTGGTTCAGAAAGGAATACCTCTCTTTACAGAATACCAGGCAGGAGACCAGCGAACAGGCTAACACATGAGAGGCGTCCTCCGAGAGGCACAGGCGAATTACGTGTATTTGGTGTGACCATGCAGAGTGGTGGCTGATTCTTTTATATAATATAATTAAACATTTTATTCTAAATAATCATCATTGACAGGAGAATAGTCCCCCAAGGTGGGCAATACATGCCATTGATCATAACACTTTTGGAATTCTTCTTTTGGAACTGCCTTAAGGCTTTCTAAACTCTTTCCCTTGGATATCCTTACAGCTGCATTTCTCAAAGTGTGGTCTGGTCATTCAAAACAGAAACTTCAGGATACTTGTAAAGATTACAGATTTCTGATTCTTACCTCAGACCCACTGAACCAGAATTACCAGGGACGGGATTGCAGTGTGTTATCTAATCAAGCCCCCTAGATGACATTGAAGCATACACTCAAGTTTCAGAATCAGTGGTATATAGAAACATCATGTTGTTTTTTGAGAATGGATTCGAGAGTGGATGTTGCTTTGGCAAACAAGCAGAAGTTATTCAGAGCCAAATTCAGTAAATAGAGTAAGTGATCCAACTAGGAAACACATTTGAGGCAAAAATGAGGCATGATCCTAAGATAACATGATTTGCACTGTGTCTTGTTCTGAAGGTATTATAGAAGAGACACTCCCAACATGCTCTGAGCAATGGACACCTGGTAGAAATAACAGCACAGCTTCACAAGATGACTGACTGGAAAGGGACCACACTCAAGTAATGCATGTGTTAAAATCCATTTCATGACCTTAGAGTCACATCTCAAATATAATTATTGCCAGTACTGTGACTACCGAAGATGGTTCTAGTCCTGTCCACACGATCCATGCACTGTGTTCCTATATGTGTGCAGCCAAAGCAAATGTTATGGCTTCCCACCTAATGGCCCCTTCACCCCATACTCATCCTATGCTCCAATCAAACTGAATTACTTGCAGTTCCATAATGTACCCTCTCCAATATGTCCATCGTTTTTCATAGGTTCTTATTTTAAGGTCCTGAACTCTCTTTTAATAAAATAGAGGTAGATCATGTGATGGCTGAAAGGGCGGGCCTAGACTCAGGCTGCCTGGCTTTGAGGCCAGATCTGTGTTTCCTATCCATAAGCAAGTACTAATCTCTCTGTTCTTCCACTTCCTTATCTTTAAAATGAGGATGATAATAAAAGTACCTGCCTCATTGAGTTACTGTAATAATTAAATGAGTAAATACATGTAACATGCTTGTAATAGTGCCTGGAGCACAGAGAGATTCAATGAATTTTAGCTAGCACCAGTATCCAAAAATGGCTTCTTCTTTATAGAGGAAAAGTTAGGCCCATTCTTTTTTGTGCTTTAAGAGCTCCTTTTATATATCTCTGTTAGAAAGCTTACCATCCTACCATATTTTAAATATTTACTTGCCCATTTCTTCTCTGACTTCTCTGAGAGCTTTTCGAAGCAGCAATTTTTGTCTTCATCATCATTATATTCCCAGGATTTTGTCCAATGTCTGGCACAGAGTGAATGCAGGCCCTCATTATTTGAATATAATCCATTCCTTAAAATGTGTGTGGTAGCAAAGTTTCAAATAGAAAGAGCCTATATTCCATTATTTTTAAGCAGAAAAAAATAATAATTTATTCTTAGAGCATCCAAAAATATCAATTTCCCAAATACTACTAAAATGCTTTTAAATAACTATATAACAAGCTGATGAGAATTTCTACATAATATAAAATATTTAAACATCAATTACACAATTGTTTCACACTTGGTGGAGTGATTGATAGGTATGTTTGTGTGCAGTCCACAGCTGAATGGAAGAGGAATTTCATTACCCTTCTACAATGAGCATTCACTATAATAAAAATAAACAATGAAATAATATTGCCAAAGATTTGAAAAGATACTTTCTAAGTCGGACCTGAGTTGGTAGGGCCCCTAGGTATCT